TCTTCAATGTCAGTGGAGCACCATTTTCTTTCCAGCTTTCTAGATGCTGCTTTAAAGTACGTAACTCAGAATTGAACCAAGGAGCCAGTTTCCTCTGATTGATTACTGTTTTTTCAGCAGAGCAGCTTTATCAAGTGAAGTTTGCAAAGTAGTTGTAAAAGTATCAACTAGATGATCTAAGTCTCTGTTCTCTGATGCATTACTCTGCAAGACAGAGGAAACATTGATGGAAGAGATTGTTTAAATTTGTTTACAGCGTTTTCTGATAAGCACCTGCTGAGATGAAATTTACTCTCAGTGACTGTGTAGTCATTTAATGTAAACTCAAAGGTTATTAAAAAATGGTCAGACAGAATAGGATTTTGAGGAAATATTACTAAGTTATTAATCTCGATGCCATAGGTCAGAACCAGGTCAAGGGCGTGATGATGAGAGTGAGTGGGTGTTCGGACGTTTTGGGTGAAACCAATTGACTCAGTTAAATTATTAAAGGCTATGCTTAAGCTATCACTTTCAACATCTACATGAATATTGAAATCACCCATTATTATGATTTTATCAGTATTTAAGTAAGTCAGTTAAGAATTCTGAGAATTCAGACAAAAACTGAGCATAGGAGCCTGATGAACGATATATAACAACTAGTGACGGTGGCCGTTCCATTTTCCATTTAGGATGGGACAGACTTAGAGACAGCGACTCAAAAGTATTATAACTACTAATTGGTTTAGTATTAATTAATAATCCAGACTGAAAAATAAAAGCTACACCTCTGCCTGACCAGTTGTTCTAGGAACATGAAAATTTAAATAGTTAACAGGAGTGGATTCATTTATACCAACAAAATCCTCCTGTTGTAGCCAAGTTTCTGTCAGACAGAATAAATCAACATGATGATCAGTTATCAGGTCATTAACTAACAGGGATTTAGAGAAAACAGATCTGATGTTCAATAATCCACATTTAATGATAGTGCTGCTCCACATAAGGTGGGATGGATTCCATCTCTCCGCATCAGACTGGGTTTTCTCCAAAATGCACTCCAGTTGTCTACAAATCCTACGCTGTTGTCAGAGCACCACCTGGACACCCAGCAGCTGAAAGCCGACATACGGCTAAACATGTCATCGTTGGACAGTTTGGAGAGAGGATCAGAGAAAACTACAGTCAGACATAGTTTTTGCGAAGTTGCACACTGAAGCAACATTGATTTTATTGATCTCTGATTTGCGTAGCCGAGAGTCATTTTCGCCGACGTGAATGATAATTTTATTGTATTTCGCCTTAGCCAGTAGTTTCAGGTGGGATTCAGTGTTGCCTCCTCTGGCCCCTGGAATGCATGCGACTGTGGTTTGAGTCGCAGGTGCCACATTTCAGTCTCTGGAGCGGCCAACAACGAGAGTCTGCTCCTCGGCGGGCTTCTCACTAAGCATGGAAAACCGATTTGAAAGTTGAACGAGTCGGCGGTTGACCGAGGGCTTAGTTTTAGTTTTTCTTTGGACTGTCACCTAGTGGGGCTGAGGTTCAGAGCAGCTAAGTGGAGGAAACTGGTTGGAAACTTTTTTTAATGGGAGAAGAATCTTTTGAAAAATTCGAAACGTGAACAGACTGATGGTGAACTGGAGGTTTAGGCTTACTTTGGGTCGATACACTGCGCGCCTGTGGTTCCGAATTGCCAAGGGGAGGAAACTGATTTTAAATGTGATATAACAAGGAAGAAAACTTTTTGAAACATCATTTGAAATATGAACGGGTCGATGAAACAAACGACCAGCATACGAACACTAACAAAAAGTTTAAGGAGCAGAAAAACTGTTTATACTGTAGTAAGTGCAAATCGTATAAAATGTTTAAAGTTTGTTAAATTCTCTCTGAGCAGAGCAGAGCATATTTTTAAGTGTCCACTCCCAAGCAACCGGAAGTCCATGACAGATGTGAGCTGATGTAGGTGAGAGTAGACAGGTGTGGACAGATGTGTAGGACGTCACCTGACAAGCTGATGTCCTTGATGTTCCTGCTGGATGAGTTGTTGATTTCAACGTTAGCTTTGACCGGCTCTCCGTGGTAAAACGTCTGCAGACATAGAGACAGGACGGATGTTAATAGACCTGTCACAATAACAAATTTTGCTGGGCGATTAATTGTCTCAGAAATTATTGCGATAAACGATA